CGCAGGGCAAATATATGGTCAGAGGTGCTTCGACCGGGCCGGAAGCCACATTGCTCTTCTTGGATCTTGAGGTCAACTATTTCACGGCACCTCCTTTCTAGTACTTTTGCGTAGACTTTACCTACGAGGCTCAGTAACGTTAGCCTCTATAAATGGAGCATTCCTTGTGGTCCGTTTTTTATTTTTATAGCAATTTTTTAAATGGATAAAACATTTATTATAACAGGAGTACAGCGAATGGAACGAGAAAATCTGAATGATACGAAGGAAACAATGAAAGCAAAACCAACAAATACTGGATTAGATCCGAACGGAAAACAGCAGCAAAGAATTCAAAGCTCCGGAAAGTCGATTAGCAATAGCACTGAAACTGATATCGAGGATCGTGCTGCGAAAGCACGAACCGTTCGTAATTCACACGTGAGTTCTTTCTACCGATATGATTTTGAGGTCGGAGTCGCCGAGAAATGACAACAAGTCATTGTCGCAATCTTCGCCGGACAATCCACTCTGTGAAAAGAGCACCGAATTGCGGAGGATCTTGTCCTTGGCGATGGCAAAAGCGAAGTCACGACTGAGACTGTTACTCATGGCACTCGGCGAACGGTCGGGTTGTAGCCTGTTGGTACTGCTGTTTAGAAATTTTTCTTTCAGATCGAGTTCTACCGCAATGGAGTCAGACGGCAGTTGCTGCTGAGTAGGGACCTTTTGAAGTTCACCTCCTTCTTTGGGCAGGCTTTGGAGACATCCACATTTCAGTGATTTTCCAGCCACCTGACAAACGTCCGTGTATTTTCGGTACAACCGCAGCTGAACGTTCTGAGGAAACATCGGCGCTTTCCGCCTTCCTCCATGCAGGTCAGCCACCCGTTCTTCTGATAGAGTATAAGTTCGTCTACAGCTACGCACGAAAAGGGAAGCAAGCAAAATCATCAGCAGACACGAAGCACCACAGAATACATACACAAAAATTAAAGCATCCATTCAGTAGAATCAACTCATCATTCGAGGATGTGCCTTACAGGACACTTTTCTGGACAAGTTAGATAGTTAGGTTCTATTAAAAATGGTATTTTATTTAATACGTTCATCCCACTGTACCCATGAATATGTTATGGTTAACAAATGTTTAAAAATGGTAATTACTTGCTGTTCTCTACTGAATTTAACCTCTGCAACTCAACGTTTCAAAGTGTGGCAAACCAAACAACGCCAATCGGACAATGAGTCAGTGACAACGGACCTCTCTATCTCCTGAGATAGTGCTGTCCCGGTAGAAGAATATTTATTACCAACCCAAACGTTAGTATTGGGGCGATTATGCATACAAAGGCTGACTTAAGCGCATTTCAAACTGTTTTGCCCCACTGAACTTACCTTATGAAAGGAAGATAGCGAGCCTCGGAATGACTGACGATGCCTGAGCCTGGTTGACAGAGTTTGCGAATGTAATGTAAATGACATCTTTTACGTAATTTTGTTGATTAAGAGCTCAGCATTTTTCTTAGTTAATCTGCAGTAACCTTTATTGTACATTTATGGTGTTATAATTCGGACGAACAATGATATCGATCATTTGCCAAGGACACTTCTTAAGAGTAAAAGTTTTACGAAAGATACCGACAAACATAATCAAGTGTAGAAGCTAATGTACTAAACTTTTCGAGTCAGTCTATCAAACATCAATAATTGTATCTTCCATCAGTTTGTAATATACCTATCAAACTTCATCTGGATATTTTTCTACTTTTTCAAAGAATGATCTTTGGAGTAAAGAACAGATTACTGGATGCATATGGATTGTGCGCGTTTTCTTTGTGATGATCGCTTTGAGCCTTTCGCATAATGCAAACGTCTTCAGCTTGTCCGCTGTTTGCATAACTCTAGTATACTTTTTCTAAAAGGCATCGCATGCTGCGTCGTAGAGAACAGTTCCTGTGATACCAGATTTGCTTCTATCATGTTCATCTACATTGCGTCTGGGCCTCCTAGTCGACTTCTGTCGTGTTTCAACCCCAGCTTGTGAGGTTCTCCGTCTGGAGTAAACAGTGTATGATCAACCAGGTTATCTAACAGGGCCAAACACATTTTTTTAATCACATTCCCTAC